CTAAACCACTTTCTCTTTTTTTCCCCCTTCTGGAACAACCAGCCAATCACAGTCTTCAAAAGACTGTGTCATACGTAGCAACGGGGTCAGCCCCGCCTCCTCACTAAGATGAAAGTTTTTGTCTTTTCCTCGCTTCGAGTTGCTGTCAGATTGGTCCTGAATTGCTCTTAAGCTAAGACTCCTATGTAGAAATTTTTAAGCTAAATTAGGAGCTCTCTGAGAGGATTCTTAGAATCTTTAAGAATACGGCTCCAGGTCTGGGGAACCTTCGGACGTACCATCAGTCACTCATTGGTTCCAGGAGAGTGACAGGGTCTGGGACTCAGCACACCAACATCTCCAGCATGCAGTACAATGTCACAAACATCATGCTGTCACGGAAACACCAGGCTCTTCCACTAATCAGTGATTTCAATCACCGGAGTTCTGATTACACGCACCTGACCGTCATTCACTAATAACCAGCACCACAGTATAAAAGCACACAGTTCACACAAGCACATTGTCTGGTCTCCATTGTGGATAAAGACTCATCGCTCATGCCAAGCTACTTACCTGAATTCCTGTTCCAAGTCTCCTGATCTCCTTTGTCTTCTCCTGGTGTTCCTGTGTGTGTGATCCAATTACTTACCTGCGTCCGATCCCCGATACCAGCTCCTTGGAAAACCTTCCGTCATCTCACGCTCTCCAAAATCTGGTAACAGCTAACACCGTCATCAGTATCCTTGCTCAACTCAGTAAATACTCCTTATCTGCCATTTATCACCTGCTTCTGCTATTCCCTGACATCTGCACAATAAACCCGTCTGTTTGATTCCAACCTGTCTGTGTCTTGAGTCTGACTACACGTTACATTTACATTTAGTCATTTAGCAGACGCTTTTATCCAAAGCGACTTACAAATGAGGACAATAAAACCAGTCAAAACTAACAAAAGAGCAACAATATATATAAGTGCAAATGACAAGTCTCGGTTAGCCTAACGAAGTACACGTAGCAAGGTGTATATATATATATATATTATACACACACACACATATACACACACACAAACAAAGAGAAACAGGTAGATAGAATAGAAAAAATAGAAAGCTAGTGTTTGTTTTTTGTTGTTTTTTTAAATAAAATAAATAAATAAATGAAAAATTAATATAGATAGAAGTGGTCCAAGAACTGAGCCCTGAGGCACCCCAGTAGCTAGATGTTGCGACTTGGACACCTCACCTCTCCAAGATACCTTGAAGGACCTATCTGAGAGGTAAGACTCAAACCACTGGTGTGCGGTTCCTGAGATGCCATTTTCGTGAGTAACCTAACGTTCTCTTTCAAACATTTGCTCGGTATCTCACTATGGGATATAGGCAACTCCCGTCTTGCAGATATGCTGTCCGAAGCAGACATGTCAACAACTCAGTGATGTAAAACACACAAGAAAAAACCCTGACTATTCTCCAGATAGAACGGGAATATGTGCAAACAAAAACCACCTCCCTAACGAGGTTTTTTATTATTATTATTATTGTTTTTTACACACTTAGGACAGAATGAGCCAGTGACAGCTCTGTGACGTCCAGTCTATAAAATCGGACAAAAGTGTGAGGTGAAGCCCAGCTTGCTGCTGCACAAATGTCCTGCACTGACACGCCCTTGAATAGTGCCCAAGAGGTCGCCATACCCCTGGTAGAGTGGGCCCTTAGGCCCTCCGGAGGACAGAGACCCAAGCTATTATAAGCTGATATAATAGCTTCCACTATCCAGTGGGACAGGCGCTGATGTGAAATAGGTTTACCTTTGTGAAGATCAGCCCATGAAATGAATAGCTCATTACTCCTTCTTAGTACTTTCATTCTGTCCACATAGTGACGTAATGCACGGACAGGGCACAAACAGTGAAGCCGCTCATCCTCCGATGATGAAAAAGGTGGCGGATGGAAAGCCAGTAAATCCACCTGTTTGCAGGTAAGAGCTGACTCGCTCACTTTAGGCACAAACGCCATATTAGTTTTGAGAGTTAACCTCAAGTAATCCATAGCGAACTGCATACAGGAGCTAATAACTGACAAAGCGTGAAGCTCACTAACCAGCTTTGCGGTTGAAAGAGTCAATAATAAAGCTGCCTTTAATGAAAGAAGCTTCAAATCAATACCATCTACAGGTTCAAAAGGAGGTTGAGATTAAGGACCACGGACAGATCCCATGGCAGAATCGGAGGCTTAGAAACTCTGTTTAAACACGGCACCTCTCATAAACCTGCATATGAGTGGGTGTTGACTGTCTTCAACTGTTGAAGGTCTTCCTGTCAACTCCCACATGACATGCCGAAATTGCAGCAAGGTAAACCTTAACTGTTGAAAAGGCTCTGCCCTTATCCAAAAGTTCCTGCAGAAAGCATAACACATCTGCAACAGAACAGAAAAAAGGGACTATGTGTCTGTGAATGCACCATTGCACAAACACATTCCATTTCCTATCGTAAGCAGAACGCATTGAAGCTGCCCTTGCGTTCTGAATTGTTTCAATCACCCTCAGAGGTAAACCCGCAATGCTCAAGTTTAACCTCTCACGGGCCAGGCCCAAAGAGCCACTTTGTCCGGGGCTGGGTGAAAGATCTGCCCGCGCACTTGTGAGAGGAGGTCTCTGCGCAGCAGGAGCGGCCAGGGCTGGTCGCACAGGAGCTGCATTATCTCCGTCAGCCACAATTTCCCTGGCCATTTCGGGGCGTTCAGTATGACTGAGTGACCACATTCCCTTACTCTTTTTAGTGTATGTACGATCAGACTCAGCGGAGGAAATGCGTAAAGCAGTGCGTTTGGCCACGGGTGCGCTAGCGCATCCACACCCATAGGCGCACCTTCTCTTGCCAGCGAGAAGAATAGTGGGCAATGCATGTTTTCGTGCGAGGCGAAGAGATCTACGGCCTCTCCCACAGTTGGCTCACTACCTGAGGGTGGAGAGTCCATTCTCCATTAGGGGTTGAACGACTTCTGATTTTTTAAAGTCAACTTTTTTGTGATGAAAGTCGAGTCGAAGTCGACTAGTCGCTGATGACATCATTAATGAACAAATAAGTCTGGAGCTGTGACAAACACCTTGTGCACAGCTATGGCATATGACACAGAGCTGCCCACATGGCTATTGCTCCTATAACAGCTCATTTTTATCAGTTCTTTTGTCTTTTGTCAAATGTTATATTTCTCACAGATTTCTGCTCATTCTAAATCAGATACAGATAAAGTAGCACAGTAAAGATTACAGTCATATGAATGCATTCGTGATAGCGATTGCGTGTGAATTAATTCTACCTGGCAGCGTCTCTCTACTAGTAGTGAAGCTGTGGGATTTAGTTATTAAGAAATATATGCTTGAACTTTTCAGTTTCTAAGCTATTTTATTGAGAAATCACAGAACAGTGTTGACAATACATTTCCACACTGAATGATTCTGTGCACGCGCGATGTGTGCGTGATGTACGAGCTACTGTCTGTAGCCTATGTGTGTGCGTTACAGTGCAGCAGCGCATTAGATTAGAACGGCGATTAACTTACCTGTACAATAAGCTGTTTAAAACGTGCATTCTCCAGTTCTATTTCGAACGTCCAGTAATATAATCACACATGTCTTGTGGAGTGCTTTCAGAGTATGCATTTATTTGTCATTTTAACTGTTTGGAAACGGAGCGTAAATGTGGAAGTCATTCAAAGATTTCTTATCCTGTTGCGCCCTCTATAGGACCAGCGACTAGTCGACGTCAAGCTTAAAGCCTCATGGCAGAGCATTGAAGTCGACTAGTCGACTAGTCGATTAGTCGGTGCAACCCCTATTCTCCGTACAGTGGATTCTCCCTGGATAGGAGATCCACCCCCACATTCACTATTCCCGGGACATGCATTGCCCTTAGTGACTGGAAATGCTTTGTGGCCCACGCAATCAATTTTCATGCCAGATTGTGAAGCTGAGGGGAGCGTGTGCCCCCTTGTCGATTTATGTATGCCACAGCCGTTGTGTTGTCTGATCTGATCAAAACGTGGTGGTTCCTTAGGAACTATACAAAATGTTTTAATGCCAGAAACACAGTTCCAGGAAGTTTATGTGTGCGTTCTGTAGCGGGACGGGCCATTTTCCCTTCGCTATCCTGCCCTCGCACACTGCACCCCAGCCTGTGAGCGAAGCATCCGTCGTCACCACCTTTATCAGAGAAACTGCTCCCAGCATATTCCCTGATTTGAGAAATTAACGATCTCTCCAGTGACGGAGAGCGCGCATGCTGAGTGAGGTCACCATCACTTTGCGCCGCAACCCAGCACTGAAACTCCCTCATTCGCAGCAGCCCCAGAGGAACAACCGAGACAATTGAGGCCATCAGTCCCAGCAGGCGTAAACATAGTCTGAATGGGACTTTTCTCCCTTTCTGAAAAAGGGATAAACAGCCGCGAATCGACCTGATGCTCTCCTCTGACAGAAACGCTTGATACAGGACTGAGTTCAGTCTGAGACCCAGGTAGATTATCTCCTGTGTGGGCACAAAGCAGCTTTTTATATAATTTATTTTGAACCCCAAGTTCTGTAAATGAGACACAAGTGTTTTTGTATCTGTCTCTATCTGCTGCCGCGACGGAGCGCAGAGAAGCAGATCGTCTAAATAAGCTGACACTCTGAGACCCGCTATTCTCAGCGGAGTCAGAGCTCAGCCAGGGCAGAGGAGCAGATTTTCTGAAACAGAGAGGTGGAAAGCCTGTCCGTCTGTTTCTGTCCATCCTGGCAGTGACGGGGAGGTGGAGGATAAGGCCATCCGGCGATTGTGGTGGAGGTGATTTGCCACTGACAATTCCACCGGCGGGGGGTTTAACATCCCTAGGTCCTCCATATTGTACACGTCCAGCCTAGAGAAACCTTTAACAGGCACTCTATGAGAGAACGGTTTGTTCCAGAAATAGCACATCTCTGCAACACATGCTGGGACAGCTGGAATCAGCTGCTTGGCAGGGGAAGTGCGTGATGGCAGCCTCTTCCCATCATACAAGTCTCTCTCTGGGCCCTGGCCCTCCTGCTGTGAAGGCCAGTCGATAGAGAGTTTGGCAGCTGCCCTCCTGGACACTTCAATGAGGTCCAGGTCTCCCCTTGCGGGGGAAAGAGAGACTCACCCGTTACACTGCCCGGTCTGGAAGAGAGATTAGGAGGGAAGATTGCATCATCTTCATCTTCCTCCAAATCCTCTTCCAAGAGACGAGCAATCGTCTCATCATCTTCCTCTTCGCACCACAGTACCACAGACCCCCCCGTTTCTGTGGTCTAGAACTGCCCCTGCACAAGAGAGACTCTAGGTTTATTTCCCTGAAGAAAAATATGTGAAGCAGGAATGTTTTGCTCTCCATTTAATGTCACTGCTGTCTATAATAAACAACTGAGAGATTAAAAGATTTAATTTGTATTTTTATCCTATATGGGCAGACCTGAAATACAGGTAAACAATCCCAATTTTATTTGAGTTCAATTAACATGGAAGGTAGTGGTAATAACCCAGTGTCAAAATAAGTTACATTGTCTTTTACACAACAAAGGCTAGAATGTGATCCTTGGTTTAAATATTAAAGATCTTGTACAGTCTCAAACAAGCTGGTTTGGTCTACTTTGAAAAGTTTGAAAAGCTGTGCTTCAATTTAAACTCTTTTAAGACTAAATGTGTGAAGATTCACAGTTATCAAAGACATTGTAGTATGCTAGTTGTTATTTTTAGCCTGGTCTCATTTTTTATATGTAGGTATTAATACGTAACATTTACAAGCACAAAACATACATTTTTGTAAGTTTTTATTGATGCTAAAATGTACAATTTAGACGTATTTCAACGTTTAAAACGTACAAATCGCGACGTATTTTTAGCTAAAAAAACTTAAAATATTTACGTATCTTTTATATCAAGATATTCGTATCAATGAATTTTTATAATTTTATCAATAAGCGATTTAGATTTTTAGACCCCTTAACCTACCACCAAACCTAAACCTACCCATTTTATAGCGAATATAAAAGGATATGAAACGCAATTGACGAAATATGCAGGAAAATAACAATTTTAGTAACAATAGCCTTAAAAATATTTTTATAGTCGCTAATTCCACTCCTACCTCTAAACCTAAACATGACTATTTCTGTACAGTATAAGAAAAACATGACAGACAGATAAATGCAATTACAATCCTTTATTTATTGCAAAAATGTCAAAAGCATGTACCAAAAGTAATCAAAATGACGATGCGTTGCAGCCGCAGTCCTCTCTGGCGGAATACAGTAGGTTTGTGTGAGGTGCAGAGCAGAATTTAAGTTGTTAATCGCTGAAAATATTATCCAGATTATTTTCCCGATCCACCGTGAACTTGTGAAGGCGCGCGCGCATCATTCAAACACATCTCACCAGAAACACGGCATGTCACAATCTGTGACGAATGCAGGCGAGAGCCAATGAGTGTTCGATTATCCTGCAGTAAAACCTGTTGTTTGAAGCGCCAACATTTGAATTTGTAAAAAGCTCGTCAGTTAGCGGCAGCGCAGGCTTTGCTGTTTACAGTCTGGACTTGCTGCTCGGTATGAAGATGAAGATCACAGAATAAAGGCTTGGATTTGGGTCTGTTCCTCACAGTCGTATGGATTCGGAAGATTTGGATTACAGCGCACAAATAAAATTGTTTCATTTCGTAATTATGACACGGAGACAACGCCTTTTGTGGCCCATGGTAAACAAAGTAAATATTACATGACAAGTAGGCCTAAAGGTTAAACAATTGCAGAAATGTTATTTATTCTAAGGGTTTAAAGTGAAGTCTTTTTTTAAATTATGTAGGCCTATTCTTGGAAACGAGCCAGTGTTCTGTCGATTTGTCAGATTTTGCTACCTCCCAGATTTTGTTACCTCCCTTTAAAACAGCGGGTAGTACAATTCGACGACGAAACATGCTGCCTGTAAAATTATGGTTTATTAACGTCTACACCTACCACAACCCTAAACCTGCCCTTACAGTAATGCAGATACATTAAATATTGTTCAGCATGAGATAAAGGACGCAATATTGATGTGCGCATGCGCAATAAATCCTGGTAGGACAATCTGACGGGTAGGATAAAATGTCAGGACATCTGTTAGCAGAAATCACACAGAACAGAACGAAATGTTATCATTTCATATTAAGTAAATGAGTAAATGCAATTGAAAATCATTGATATGACAACTAAAACAACAATAATAAAATTAATGCCGCGATTTAAATATTCGAATCATAAGGATTCATTTTTAGCTGTCCTCAATACGTCAGTTTAAATGCTGAAAATACGTACGTATTTGTACGTTTAGATGCTGAAAATACGGCAGTATTGTACGATTAGATGCTGAAAATACGGCAGTATTGTACGTTTAGTGCCTGTAAAAACATAAGTAAATGTACGTTTTATAGAACCACATTTTACGTAAAATACATACGAATTAGCATGAGATCACGTTGTTATTTTCTAGTCAACTGGATGTGTCGTCCTGTTTCTCAGAGACTCTTCTTTAAAAACATAACTAGTGAGAGTTTACCAGTTACTAATGATGAATCTTTAAACATGCTTTTAGCAGAAACACCGCCTGATTCAATTTAGCAGTTACAATACACACTGGAGACATAACAACATAAAACGAGCTGTAAATATTCAGATGACTGCGGTGAATTAACCAATTAGTACATGCAAAGAGAGAAGTTAGAAAAAGGAAAAAGAAGAGATAAGGGGAGAGGATAGAGAAAGCTTCAGCCCCAACTTTTAATATAAGGTAGGCCTATACTATCTTTTTAGTTCTGTTTAAAGAGGTCATGACATGGATTTTTTATTATTATTATTATTTTAATAGGTTTTATATTAGTGCCAATAAAGTACACTAAACTGAAACTAAAAAGTATATCTGAGAGAAATTTTGCATTGTTTTAATAATTATGGTAGGGTTTTGGAACGTCCTCTCTCACAGGAAATGTAATTGCACTCTGCCTGCATTTGGAACTGAATCACTGCTTTAATAACCCACAAATTCTGCCCCATCACCTGCAAACTAAGGTCCAGGCTGGAAATGAACTTTGTGGACAGGTCATTACCACACGCCTCCCCCTCCTTTCTCCCCCTTAATCCCAGATTGTCCAACTCCTCTTCCCTGCCTATAATTACACAATATCCAATATCACCATGCAAGATGCCAACAGATGCACCGCGTCTAAGACAAGCATTATGGACTTAGAGATGCTTCAGTAATTCGGTCAGCGCAAGGCGTGGAGATTATTCGATTGAGGAATGTGTCCAGGTCTTAGGTCGAGCGGCAGAAATGTACAACAGGTGGTCAGTTTCAGAGTGGACATGGCATGAGAAGAGAGCATATGCTGTTAATAACCCTAATTAAATATTAGGTTTAAAATATAAGGAGACACCTCACTGTAATTATTAAAGATAATCGTCTGTGGTCACAAAATTTTAACTGGAATGCTTTTTTAATGAGTTTATTATTTTTTAAATATATTTTATTTTAAGTTGATTGTTTTTACAGTAAATATTTTAATAATACTTTTTTGTTGTTTTTCAAACGATTATGATGACTAAATTCCACCAAATATAAAATGCTACCCAACCCACCATCTCTGCACACAAAAGTGTTTGAAGGTGATGTGTTAAAATGGCAGTGGTTCTGTGAAAGATGTTGTCTTATAAGGAGGCCGGTGAATTTGCTTCTCAAGTCTTGTTCCAATCAGGGTTCGGCGAAGATTAGGAAGCAATGTTCCAGTAAAGGCGATTTGGATAGTAAACTGTTAGCCTGCTCACTCCGATAATCTCCCTCATTTACCGCACAGTTTGTTAGGCGGGGGTCCGGTGGGGGAGCGGTAAACTATGCCCTCATCTGACTATCAATGGTACTGCAAGACAATAGGCTGAATGTAAGGATATTTATGGATAGCCTATAGGCTAATACTGCTCGTGCAGCCTATACACACAGAGTCAAAACCAAAAATTGTTTAGACACCAGATATAATATTTGATATTGCAAACACTATATTGTGCAGGAAAGGACACTATATTTCATTTATGTAGGCCTAAGTGAGGATAGCAAAAAAAAAAAAGTAAAGTGTGACATATACTCAAAAATTCTTCATACAGCGGACTACCTGTAAAATTGATAAAAAATAAATAAATTTGGGACCAAAAAAACACTTTGACCTGACCATGCTTTGCTTGCGTGTTTTTTTTTTTTTCTTCTTTTTTTCAATCTTTAATTGCTAATGCAACCGTTTTACACCACAGACTGAACAAAATTAAGCATTGCTTGGTAATTGGTTGACCTAAAATGTACTTAAATTTAACAGCTTACAGCTATTCAGCCTAATTCGTTACATAGCCGACCTTTCTATCAAAGTTATCTAAGAGGTCATATGATCTATAAAGAATATCTCTTTGGATTTGAGACTTTAGTCTTTGCAACTTTACAGATCTTCTTTATGCACCAAGAGCTTGTAACACTCCAAAGAGAAAGGAAAAATTGAAATCGCATCATATGACCCCTTTAAGATGAATTTGTTCTGACAGTTTAACTCTTGAGTTCTTATCATATTTTATTGACAAGATAAAATACGTATATAGCCTATATAACAATTTGGCACCTGCTGCAAACAACGTCTAATTAATTATTTTCAATAACTTTTAAACTATTGGTTTATTTTACCACTTTACCAGATGCATTTAGCCTATGTATGATTTAGATAGATAGACAGACAGACAGAGAGACAGATAGATAGATAGATAGATAGATATTACATAAAACTATATATTTACTTCATTAAAACTACACTGCCTTGAAAGCATTTGTATTTCTTTTGGAAAATGCAAATAGTTGTCATCAATATGGCGCTTTCTTAGTTAGAATATGCTGCTTATTAAAACAGCCAGATTAAACATTAAATATTTTTCCCTGTGCGTTGCAGGCTGACTCTCAAAACATACAGAACTGTCTTCTGTCTTCTTCTAAGCGTCACCGTCGCGTTCTCAGCCTAGCCGCCCAAAAACGCTGTCAAGCAGCAGCACACGAGCTTTTGAGACACAACCCAGTATCTTTCCCTCTCCCGCGCCTCTGGCCCTCGTTAAACGCTGAAATGTTTGGATATGCTCGTCATATCCGTCATATGCTCCTTCAGGAAGTTAACAATTGAACACATTACACACATACTTTATATCCCTGCGGCATCTGTCTGGTTCACATACTCTCTGCCGAAGATTATTCCCATAACTAATAATGAGAATGGAACTATCAGTGATAGAGTTCGGCACTTTGAAGCGAAGCTGAGTGTTGTCTGTCTGGTCAACGTCAAGTTTGGCGAGATGCTGCTCTACGGGCTTCTGCTACTTTCTCTTTCCTTTTGGACGTCTCATTCAGTGTTTAAAATACCTTTAAAAATGTTTGCGGGGAAATTCAACGCGTCTGTGCAGCTGGACCTCAGGCCTTTGAGAAAGAATCAAAGCGCAGTGGAGAGTGGACTTTCCCTGGCATCGGATCCAGCTGGGATTGTCGACTTTCTGGACATGATCAATAATTTAAAAGGAGACTCTGGTAGGGGATATTACATGCAGCTGGTCATTGGGACTCCGGGACAAACGGTATGTAATATTTTCAACATTTTGATACCTCTTTTCTATCATTTTTTCCTTTTGTACATGAAGTGACATGTTTTGTAACGGTACATTTATTCATTTTGTAACTGTCTCCAGTTAATGTTACATCGGAACTTTTAAATAGGCCTATTTAAACTAGATTCTGCATTATACGGTGGCCTTACAAGTATCTGGACATTTAAGTCGCACGAACAAATGAATGTCATAGCATTAGATAAACATCAAATCTGCCATTATTTGTTTTAAAGAGAGATGGCAGAAGCACGCACAAAAAAAAAAGTTTCACAACAACACGTGTGCATTTTAGATATACTGTTCTGTTTGTCAGACATTAGTGAAGCATGTCTATTGTTGTGATGAACTACAACTTTAGTTACTCTGCAAGAAAGACCTGTGCGAATTTGAGAAGATATGACCTCTCATACGTCCAATAAAATTACTTTGGGACCAGTTAGAGTGAAGTTAGAAGAGTTAAGTTACTATAATTCTGAGAAAATGTGTGATATTTTATAATGAAATAACATTTTGACATTCGTAAGTGTGGCTTAAGCATCCACATACATTTAGGGCCACTACATCCGTTTCAACAGTTTTCATATGGTTTGCCCTTCACGGTCTTGTTTAAAACTCAGCTGATTTCTGATCAGCTGTTAAACATCAGAGTAGATGGGTACTGTAGGCTAAGGCTGATCTCAAAGCAGCGTTTCAGCTTTTAAGAGCATATCAGTTCAAGAAGCATGTGATGTGAAAGTCTCTATGAGATGCCTTGGGCGTAGGATGGAGACCAAGGAGCCCTTGATCTTTGTGCTGAGAATATGTAAGGGCCAACTCACATGGGTTCACATGACAGCGGGCCCCTCGATGAGAGCAGCTGACTCAGATTAGGGCCTGAAGCATCTCTCTGGAAATATTATAATGAAATCTGCGGTGTCATTGAACATCATGTTTATTCTCTCATCTCATCACAATTGAATGAGTAAGGTAAGCTGCGAGAGGCCAGGATCTTCCCGCATCCTCTGCGAATATGTAATTAAGGGTACTCATGTTAATTGAGGCGCTCTTTCTAAACGAGCCACTAATTGCGGAATCTGTCGTATGTGCGGAGGCGTCGGACTGGAGTGCCTCACATCTGCTAATTGGTACAAACAGGTAGCAGATGCGTTCCCAGTGACAGAGCGCCTGCCAATTAGCTAAGCCACCTCGATAGGGGTGATTAGAGCCCACTTCACCAGTAGAGGAGCCATGGGAGCACAGTGAGGAGGAGTACAGGGAGAGACAAGCACAGGGAAGGGGCCAGATTCTTGGAACCAAAGGGAGTATGTGTGTGCCAGGGCCCTGTTGTGGACAGACTTCATGTTTACTGAAAGTAGCCAGTAGTCATGGCTGGATTTTTCGTACCAGACAGGAAGTGAGGAGCGTGTCCTTAATGTATCCTCCAAACTTAGTAGTGGCAAGGCAAGCATTACTGTTACTGTTGGTTTTATGACCAATTTTACATAACTACAATAGCCATGATAATTTGCACTGTGATTTTTAATTGAATAACCACAAACACTTTCTGCCTTTCCCCACTGAAGACCGTGATTGTAGCCGTGTGGGAAACAGCGGTTGTACTTTGTGCTGTTTGTCTGAAAATTTGTACTTAATAATCGTCTTGAGTTAAAGCCGGCAAGGAATGAGGAATTATACACAATAACTGGCAACGTGTTTGGAAAGGTCTGTAGTTAAACACAATAAGAAGATTATTCCTCTTGAATTTCTTTCACACCTTGCAAAAACAAGGTCTATGCTTGGAATAAACACGATTCATTCTGTTTAAGCTTGGAATAACCATTCATTCTATTTCTGCAATACTTTACAAAGCAGACATGTTATTAACCACTGCTTGTTCTAATCAGTTTACTTATTAATGTGAATAACCATGATTTGTAATGTTTAACCTTTGTGAAAAAAGACGTGTGCTTAAATGTATTGAATGTGCGCTTGTAGCATACTTCAAATCTTAAAAGTATATTTAAAAAAAAACAGTATTTGCAGATAATAAAATATTAATGAAATAAAAGGCCACTCAAATGTTTATTAACAAGTACACTTTTGCACTTTCACAAGTAAAAGTTTACTTTAAAGTACAGTTTACAGTTTATTTAGGCTTTAATAAGCTTTTGTTGTCCTTTTAATGTGTTGATTAACATAAAGCACATGTAAAGTACTTCATTATATTTAACTGTAGTGTGTTATTTGATATTACATTTAAAGTTAAAATAGGCTATTTTAAATGTCCTAACTTTACAAATGTATTACAAATATATTCAAATACATGACATACAAGTTTCAATTGACCTTAAAATATGTTTTAATTTACCATAAATGATCATCAGTATACTTTTGGCAGTACACTTTATCCATTTCAAAGACAATATAAGTAATTCTGTAAATAATGTAATAATTTGAGTCAAAAAACAAAACAAAAATAATTAAGTTCAACTAATTGCATTTAATATCAATGTAAGCTATAATAAATTACATGGAATTAAGGGTCCGAAAACATTGCATTTAGTATATTAAGTACAGCATTTCCATTAAAAGTATGCTAAAATATACTTCACGGAAAGAGTTTGCCTTCTCCTGTATAAATAGCCGATCATTATCATTAGTGACGTGTGGATAATGTGCAAATTTCCTGTATGCATAACTGGATTACCTGTTGCATTTGCTATTACAAGAGAGCACTAGGTACTGTATATGGGATACAGTATGTGGAATGCATTGTGCTTGACTTTACACATCCTTGTAATTATGAACAAATGGATAATATAATCCATGATTTCCTTTTTGACTCATTATTTATGATTATGAAGAGTTACATTTCTATAGATATTTCATGCAAATTAAGTAGAATTAAAAATCCTTCTCACTTTTTCTCCTTCTGAAAAGAGATATAAAAATCATTACTTAATACACTCTAAAAAATGCTGGGTTAAATATATAATATAAATATATAAATATAAAAAGGGACAAACCCAGCTATTGGGTTGTTTTGACTCAAAACAACCCAACCGCTGGGACAAAACAACCCAACCACTGGGTCAAAACAACCCAATAGCTGGGTTTGTCCCTTTTTAACCCAGCGCTGGGTTATATTTAACCCAGCATTTTTTAGAGTGTAACAACTCAAGATTTTCCATAATGTTTAATTCAAACACGGCATTAAAAATGCATTCCTGGGTTTAGAGTTTAAGTGTTTTTAAATGAAGGCTTTAATAAGCTTTTGTTGTCCTTTTAATGTGTTGATTAACATAAAGCACATGTAAAGTACTTCATTATATTTAACTGTAGTGTGTTATTTGATATTACATTTAAAGTTAAAATAGGCTATTTTAAATGTCCTAACTTTACAAATGTATTACAAATATATTCAAATACATGACATACAAGTTTCAATTGACCTTAAAATATGTTTTAATTTACCATAAATGATCATCAGTATACTTTTGGCAGTACACTTTATCCATTTCAAAGACAATATAAGTAATTCTGTAAATAATGTAATAATTTGAGTCAAAAAACAAAACAAAAATAATTAAGTTCAACTAATTGCATTTAATATCAATGTAAGCTATAATAAATTACATGGAATTAAGGGTCCGAAAACATTGCATTTAGTATATTAAGTACAGCATTTCCATTAAAAGTATGCTAAAATATACTTCACGGAAAGAGTTTGCCTTCTCCTGTATAAATAGCCGATCATTATCATTAGTGACGTGTGGATAATGTGCAAATTTCCTGTATGCATAACTGGATTACCTGTTGCATTTGCTATTACAACAGAGCACTAGGTACTGTATATGGGATACAGTATGTGGAATGCATTGTGCTTGACTTTACACATCCTTGTAATTATGAACAAATGGATAATAGAATCCATGATTTCCTTTTTGACTCATTATTTATGATTATGAAGAGTTACATTTCTATAGATATTTCATGCAAATTAAGTAGAATTAAAAATCCTTCTCACTTTTTCTCCTTCTGAAAAGAGATATAAAAATCATTACTTAATACACTCTAAAAAATGCTGGGTTAAATATATAATATAAATATATAAATAGCAGATCTGTGTGTATATTATGATGGCGTTAACGATGAGGAATGCCCATAATGGCCTCTTTGGCAAATGGGTGAGATGGCACAGCTCTGTTATCTCATTAGTTCCCCCTCGTTGAACCAGCGCTCCAACAACATTATTCCAACTGCCGTGACCACCTCGCAAGCGCCTGGCAAACAGAAACATATGTGTGGAGACAGAGGCTAAATTGGAGGGCTCTGTGCCAGCAGGGTTTGATGGGATTTAGGTGGTTGACATTTAGGTATAAAAATATTATAAATAAACTAAAACAAATACCATATAGTTGTTTGCACATACTTTTGGATGCTTCTTTCAGAAAATTTCTGATTTTCAATTTGTATTTTAACCTAAGCTTAGATTCATGGGTTTTGACGTTGTATGCCTTTTTATTTAGATAGGACAGTAGGTCGACAGGAAGCGAAGTGTGTGTGTGTGTGTGTGTGTGCATGATAATACTTTGTCAAATTCTTTGTTTTTTGTTTTTGTTTGTTGCTTAGATAGAAGACATTCTAATATAATGTATTATTATTATTACTACTATTATTGTTGTTGTTGTTATTATACGTTTAGTCATTTTTCGGATTTATTGCACATATTTATTTATTTATTTACTCTGTGACATTAGTTTCTTTCTTTATTCAAATTCAAAATCTAATTAATCGCATGATATACTAATTAATCAAATGAATCATAATTGATCACTTATATCAATATTTGCTGAGTAAAACTAGAATTAAAGTAATTCCAAGGCATTTATGTGACATTTAAAAACTTTGTGGCATATAAAAAGTGGCTTTAGAAGTGCATGTATTGTTTGTTTTATTTCCATATAATTGAACATGCACATTATGGCCAAAACTATGAGGAAACACATTTTTTATTAATGGATTTTATTTCAGTTACTTCTGTTAAGTCAGTTTTTAATGCTACAACATAAAATGACATTCTAGAGATCTGGGTGCTTTCAACTGTATTGCAGCAGCTTGGAAAGGGCGTTTTTCCGTTCCAGCATGACAATACCTCTGTGCACATGAGTCTGGAAGAACCTGACTGGCCTGCAAAAAAGCATTGACCTGATCCCCATTTAATACATTCAGGATCAATTGAAATGGGACCAAATCACAGCATGTTTTAAAATCTAGTGAAAGACCTTCCCAGAAGACTATAAGCTGTTAATGTTATTGATAAACCTGGTAACATTTATATGCTACAGCAGTGGTTCTCAAACCTGTCCTGGAGTACCTCCAGCCCTGCACATTTTGCATGTCTCCCTCATCTATCACACCTGATTCAACTCATCAGCTCATTAGTGGAGACTGCAAGACCTGAAGTGGGTGTGTCAGATATAGGGAGACATACAAAATGTGCAGTGCTGCTGGGGGTGCTAGGATGTGACATAAACATACTTACATGGAGATAACTCCACCTACAGGAATTACATTGCTAATGTGTAACCAAAAAATGTAGCTCCGCCTAATAAAGCAGTGCAAATAATTTTGACAATTGGTACAGGAGATAGACATTTCTGCTTTTAAATTTCCAGCATTTGCCCTTTTGACTTCCATTAAAAGTACATAACTGTAAATGTTATTTATTTATTTATTGTTGCTGAGGGATGTTGTGTATTTTCTGTAGTAATCAACAGCTGTGCTTTCACAGATGATCATAAGCTGTATTTAATGCAGAGTATTCCTCTGAAACTATTTCCAACTAATTCATAAAAAATGACCCACCAATTAGTCATATGTTAATACATAAGGTAATGACATCATTGTTTTCTGTCTTTGCAGTTGAACATCCTGGTTGATACTGGAAGCAGCAACTTTGCTGTAGCTGCAGCAGCACATCCCTACATCACACACTACTATAACAGAGCACTGTAAGATCACATCACTGCATCACGCACTGCTATAACAGAGCACTAAGATCACATCACTGCATCACACACACTACTATAACAGAGCACTGTAAGCTCACATCTCTACATCACCCACTACTATAACAGAGCACTGTAAGATCACATCCCTACATTACACACACTACTATAACAGAGCACTGTAAGATCAAATCCCTGCATCACGCACTACTATAACAGAGCACTGTAAGATCACATCCCTGCATCACGCACTACTATAACAGAGCACTGTAAGATCGCATCCCTGCATCACGCACTACTATAACAGAGCACTATAAGAACACATCCCTACATTACACACACTACTATGACAGAGCACTATAAGATCACATCCCTACATTACACACACTACTATAATAGAGCACTGCAAGATCACATCCCTTCATTACACACACTACCATAACAGAGCACTGTAAGATCACATCCCTACATTACATCTTTAGTTACATCATACACTACTGTAACAGAGCATTGTTAGATAAAATCCTTAAATCCCACCACTATAACAAAGCATTGTAAGATCACATTCTTACATCACACACTACTATAACAGAGCACTCTAACATCAAAACACACATTGCCACTACATCACATTCTTTTATAACAGAGCATCCAGAAAAAAAAAATTACATTCATTATATTCCAGTTTTTTAATGTGTGTCAGTGAGTGATGTTTGTAAGTTCAGCAGTGTATTAGTGATGAATCAATGTCATGATGATTTGCTCAGTTCCAGTACATATCAGAGCTCCAGCAGGGGAGTTGCAGTAAAATACACACAGGGAGAATGGGAGGGGGAACTGGGAACTGACCGCATCACCATTCCTCAAGGGCCCAGTGGTACAATAACTATCAACATAGCCGCAATCCTCACCTCAGAAGGCTTCTTTCTGCCTGGAATCAACTGGCAGGGAATTCTTGGATTTGCATATCCTCTACTAGCTCGGGTAAGTGACATGTTACATAGGTGTGTTATTGAGAAAAGGTGTGTTATTTTAGAAATGGGTGCTACTGTTTGATTTAGCTCAGCTATAGCTGTCACGTGTTACATTTTGGTGTCACAAAGGTGTGGCTTAGATCCACAAACAGCAGTGCTATTATCTTCAAATGTCAATGTACATTTGGTATTACTAAGAGCCATGTTTCAGAAAGTAATGGATAATGTACTATGTACCATGGTAAATGATTAGTGCCATGGTACATTTCTAATATATTACTGTACGATAGTATCCAACTTTTTTTCTTTCTTTTCTTTTAGGGACTTTTTTAAACATTTATGAAAGCATATTTTTCCTCACTATCTGCTCCTTGTCTTTTCTTTGTCTTATAATTTTTGTCAATATATAATAAATACTCAATACAAATATTGATTTGTACTATGTTTAGGCATTAGTATTATATTATTTGAATATACTCTGGTTAGAAGACAAGGTATATGAATGGCTATTGTCCATAATTTGAAGCAAAGTGGCTAGACACAGTCTACAAAATCTGAGACTCTGATCAAAATTGGCCACTGGCCATATTATTTGAATATACATATTTAAAAATGGGTTTCAATTTCCTTAAGATGAATTTTATATTTTTCTCCTCTCAGCCTGACCCATCAGTGGAGCCCTTTTTCAACTCTGTTGTGAGACAGACCGGCATTCCAGATGTGTTTTCTCTCCAGATGTGTGGAGCAGGAGTCTCTGCCAGCACTACAGCTGACCCGGCAGGCGGCAGCCTGGTGTGTACCAAACCAGAAGTAGTCTTGCACCGACCTACAAAAATATACAATCCAAATTAGTTAAAAATTAATCTAACTAACTGCTATAGTGGGTACACCAATCTGATCACATGAAAACTATTATATATGTATTATATACAGGTCCTCTAACATATGTAGATAATACTTTTCATGGCAGATGTTTGAAAAAGTTATACAATTTTGTTTATAATCAGTTGTCAAGCTTAGTGCCAAAAATTAAGTATTTGTATTAATATTAATTCAGTCAAAAAACATTTGATTTGAAAAGTCAATTTAAAAATCAAATCTAAAAAAAAAAGTGTTAACATGTCTTTGTTCAGTTAAAAAAAATCCAGAAAACTTCTATGGCACTTAACTTTAGTTTGTTTACATGGTGTTTAGGAGGAGGTTTATTAGAAATAGATTATTATTATAGAGGGTTCCACAATATTAGACTGAATAAATCATGTATTCAAACAATGGTGCAACAGACTCTGTCTATCTCGTTATCACATTGTTTAAATAATATAATCTTGTACCATATCGATATAAAAATACAAAGAGAAAGAAAATATATTCCATTATTAACAACATGAAGTGGATTAAACATAACATTACGTCAACATTATGGTTCTTAAATTGGGGTTTGAGAGTTTAATGAAAAGCTAATAAGTAATTAAATATAAAAAAAAGAAAATTAAAATAAATCACTTTAAAATAACATCAATCAAAACTAAAACACTTATTAAAAACATGAAAGATGTTATTTGTTTACCTGCATGTCATATGACCATAAACCCAATGTCAGAGAACTGCGAACATGCAAATGTGATACTTAATTATTAAAATATTCATTTTAAAATATGAGGGGTACTTCAAGTAAATATATTAGGTGAAAGAGGTTCAGATGACAGAAAAGTTTAAGAATGCCTGCATTACATGTAAATAAGGAATCATGTAAATTGTGCATTTTAATGTGTTTGAAAGACAAAAGCTTTCCACACACACACACACACACACACACACACACACACAGTAATTGTAGGATCTATTTCAGTTCTTAAATCGCATTTAAAAACAAAACTCTGGTTAGAAGACAAGGTATATGAATGGCTATTGTCCATAATTTGAAGCAAAGTGGCTAGACCCATAGTCTACAAAATCTGAGAATCTGATCAAAATTGGCCCCTGGTGAAAGATTTGAGACGGGAGTCTCATGTTATTAACAGGTAAACTGGAGTTTAACCATATGAGTTGCTGCCGTAGGTAGCGTTCAGGCTTCCAGCTTTCATAAATCAGATCAGTTAACACCTCTCAAGGACAGATGAGATTGGGTTTCTCAGTACTACTCAAGAAACATAATAGCTCAGCGCGTCTCTGCGTCTCACACCTCCGCTGCCTCCTATAGGACGGCGTGTCTCGTTAGTGAGAAGCTAATTAAGCTAAAGAGAGCCCCCTGCTGCTGGCACATTCTGTTAGCAATACGGGAGCGCTGGAAGAAGAGGTGGCCGCGTGTCCCGCAGAGAGGAGCAGATGGAAAGCACGGTGGGGAGGGGTGTGTCCTGTGTCCACCGCTGAACAATGTCCAAAGCCTTTTGGAAATATTTGACTAGCCTCTTAATTGGATGCTATTTGCAGAAGTCAGAAGCTCCAGAAAGTCCATTTAATTTTTATTTGTTATTATTTTTATTTATTTTTGCTTGATCTGATATTCTTAGACATAAGCTAAAGAAAAATAGGTAGATGAGCCACCGTATTGTAAGTTTAAAAAATCAGATTGATTGATTAATTATTAAATTAATAATAAAAATGTATTTTTAATTTTCACATTTTTTATACAAAGAATTACGACTTTTATTTTCGATTAGGACGACAGCAATAAAACGGATAAACATTAAATACAGCTAATAAAAGTATAAAACCGTGTTTATCTAGATGAATCTATGAATCAATGAATGAATGAATCAGTCAATCAATCAATCAGTTTCATAAGATTGTGAAATAGATTTATTATTTAAAGCAAGACACTACAGACAAAAACAGGGGTCACTGACACTGGTCAATTTTGAGATTTTGGTACATTATGCTTCCAAAACTTGTCATCTTTCAGACTAGTAGAAATGTCTAAATATACCTAAATATCAAAAATCCCCTCAGTGAAGGGAAGAAGAAAAAAAACGCTTTAAAATGTCAACAAATTTAAAAAAAATGTATTCAATGTTCAAATTTCTCAAATGTATGCAAACATGTGCATATTTTTTAATAATACCTCATTTGCATATTCCAACATAACATTTCAGAAAACTTGTAATATAAAATAACTTAATGTACTGTGACTAATTGACAGGAAACTATTAGTTAAAATTGTTAACCTGTATTGCCTTGCCTTAATTTAAACTCATTGCTAATATCTTGGAAGATTTTTAATATATGCAAAGGAAAGATATGCCTCAGAATACATGCTTTGATGTCTTTGTGTTGTGTTTCAGATCATGGGAGGAGTTGAGCCCACCTTATATCAGGGTTCAGTTTGGTACACACCAGTCCTGGAAGAATGGTACTATCAAGTGGAAGTCTTGAAGCTTGAAGTTGGAACCCAAAATTTAAACCTAGACTGCAAAGAGGTACATGACACAGCCCAGCTCAAAAAATATGCGCTTTTGCATTTATTATGAATAAAGCCAGTTCAACCAGAAAATCTAGTCCATCCTTTTAGATAAGTGATGGAGTTAAAAACACTATGATTATTTGACCTTGTGAGGACAGTAAAGAGTCGTGACTGGAATTGCTCCAAGAGTGAGCTGAATTCGTACCTTTTCGCCAGTGGAGTAATTCCAGCATTCAATAAGATATATACGGCAGAGAATATCACTACTAAGAATGCAGTGATCTTGTTTATGAAATCCTGAGAGGAGCAGAGCAGGTATTGCTTTTTGTTTGATGGAGGCCTTGACTGATCTTTCTCTCCCTTTGGTCGTTTCGTTCAGTACAACTCCGATAAAGCCATTGTGGATAGTGGGACGACTTTACTGCGACTTCCTGGAAATGTGTTTAGTGCTGTGGTGGAGGCCATTATGCAGACATCCCTGGTATGACCTTCCATTTTGGCAAACGACTTGCCTCGCATAGGCAATCTTGTGCATGTTTAAGGGCCTCAGTCTTCAAAATGACTCCTTAGTTACAATTGATTGTATGCAACCCTGTTCTCTCCTGCTCTGCCAGATTGAGGATTTCTCGGCGGGATTTTTTGATGGCACCAAGCTTGCATGTTGGATGAGAGGCGAATCACCATGGAGGCTTTTTCCGAAAATCTCAATCTACCTCAGAGCAACGAACACCAGCCAGTCCTTTCGCATCACCATTCTTCCACAGGTTAGGACTAAAGCCCAAAGTATACTTCGCATATAGTGCATTTTGTCACCAGAATAATATGCACGTCCTGTACATGCACTGCCTGATTTTTGTAACCTTACTTTGTAAATGCAGGTTGCATATGCGCATTAAATTTGTTTTGCAATAATCAGTTGTTCCACAAGTTGGCAACACTTGTTATTTCACAGTAGAAAACCAAAGAGTCAGAACAACAACAAAATACTGGAGACTTTTAACAACAACAGACGTCTGAAAGGCTACGCATTATGTACATGCGTAAAAAACGAAGTATATGTTGTGCTTTAACGGCCCTAGTTTAGTTTGGTAGTAGTTTATTATTAACAAAAAATAAAAAAAGAGTTTTGTTAATTGAAGTTACTAAAATTAAAACTGAAATTTCAGTTAGTTGCCACGGTAATATTTCTAATTTTCATTTAGTTGAAGTAGTAAATTAAACCAAACTAATACTAGAACTGAAATAAAAATAAACCTACATTAAACTTGCTTTTCAAGCAGGTTTGGTTTTGGCATATTTGTCATTAATTGTCTCTTTCGGGATTTAAGAAATTGTAGCTCTCTTTTGAACAGTTTATACATTTTCACTATATTGCACTCTATTGTACATAGGCTCTAAATTAATAATATACTTTGTGGTTTTTGATGTGATGTTACACAATTTCTTAAAATGATCAGAAACCAGGATTGTACGTACTTGCTTTTTCCCTGACACCTAATTTTTTCTCCGCAGCTGTACGTCCAGCCAGTCACCGATATTGACGGCACATTGGACTGTTTCCGTTTCGGAATCTCCCCTTCAGCAAACGGCCTGGTCATTGGAGCCACTGTGATGGAGGGCTTCTACGTCATCTTTGACCGTGCACAAAAGAGGGTGGGCTTTGCCGTTAGCACTTGTGCAGGTAGGTGGGTTCAAGGGTGTGTAGATTAATATTTCAAATTCTAATTTTGAAATAGTTTCTGATAGAAATGGCTACCACTGTACAACAGTGTATACCTCAAGTTATACCATGGTCTGTCTGAATACTTGATTCTGATTGGCTGGCAGGTATGCATTAAAACAGTTTAATGCACAGGTAGTTCCAAGTAATTTTAATCACCGTTCTATATATTAATGTGCTGCTTTAATTGATGCACACAAACACACACACACAGAGGGGAGACGCACACACAAACTTGTCAACGCTTCCCTGCAAATTTTATTAATAAAATGGCCAAGACACTAGATCGCTACATTATATTCCTCAGCAACGAGGTGTAAAATCGCTGTTTTTGACACAGCTTCATTGTTTGTAGAGAGACGCGCAGACACGGGTAACACACACACACAACTGTCATCTCTCTCTCTCTCTCTCTGTCAATCGATAATTAATTCAAAGACTATAATTCATTCAAATAAATGTGATATTACCGCACTATTTAATCTCCGAGTCTGATTTGAAGCGGGCAGAATGCTAGTGCTAACGAGCCTTAACCGTCATTTTTACCCTTACCCTTCCCTTTAAATATTGCGCTACAAACATCATTAACAGGTTTAACTTGTCAATGCTGGCAAATGACCAAGGTATAAACGGGATAATGCACGGCTAGCTGTGCATTAAACGATTTTAATGCACTTCACGGAGACGCACTCCGCTTCGCATCGGGTGATTCTTGGCCTCCAAGTTGTGCATTAAAATCATTTAATGCACAGCTAGCCGTGCATTATCCCTTACATATGTCAAAGACAAAGTACAGTTCAAGATAGAGCCTGATTATTGAACTATTTCTAATTTAACATTAGTCACGACAACATGCATTGTCCTTATATATTTACTTAAATATACTTATAACCAGTGGTGGATGAATTACAAAAATCAAGTACTTCAGTAAAAGTACAGTAAATACACTATCAAAAAATTTAACTTTATACTACACACTAACTTAAAGACATTAACAAAACATTGAACAATATACTAAAATGTCAGTTTAGGTTATTGATAATTCAAGTGTGCAAACAAGTGTGTAAAAATATGCTTATATGGTATTTAAAAAAAATTACTATAAAAAAAATACTACGTACTGATGTCACATGGGGCAAAATATGGTGGCTGTACCTTTTAAGAGATAACATACTGGCTTTTTATAGGCATGGGCAATAATTTTTTTTTTTAACCTAAAATAGCCTAACCCATACACACTGTGAGTGACTAACAAATGCATCCATATTCAAACATTTCAATGGGCTTAACCGCTCTATTTACAGCAGATTTAGTTCGCAAATAACTGACAGTCATGACCTAAATATGGTTTTCATTTACAATAATCAACTAAAATTTGGTGAATGAATGAATGAATGGGTTTATTACAAAGAATTGTTCTAGCATCCCAGAGGGAGTGGTGATTTCTTCCTTTCAAAATAACGAGGAACAACATTTTTTATGAAATGTAGTGGCGTAAAAACTTTGATACTATGCTTTGGAATGTAATGAAGTTTACCAAAATAAAAACACTCTAAGAAAGTAGAGGTTCTTGAAAAATGTGCTTAATGTGCTTATTTAAAAAAACAACTTTTGTTTCTGTCCACCGTTGCTTAATTTGGCCCTCAGGTTAAGTTTGAGAGGTCTGGGATCTAAGTAAATACCTCTTCTGTCTTTCCAACAGAAAACGGTGGTGTGCCATTTGCAGAGATCGCCGGGCCGTTCCTAGCTGAAGGAGTAGCGTCAGACTGCACGAGTGGCGTGCCTCTCAGGGAACCGGTGATGTGGGTGATCGCGTACGCTCTGATGGGCATATGTGCCTTGGTTTTGATCGTACTCCTCATCTTGCTCATACTGCCTTGCCGACGGCACAGAGACGGCGAGATTACAGACGAATCCTCGCTGGTGCGGCATCGCATCAAGTGACGTCAGGCGTCAACTGAAGACGAGGAGGCACCAACTCAGCAAAACAGGGCTGAAGGAAATCAGAGCAGGTAACGCACGGAGCTCCGGGTGAGATTACATACATTCCTGTTTGTCTGGGTGGAAGATGCTGGGATTTGGGACGCTTGCGGACTTTTACAGTTGACTGAACTTTTCAAGGAAGAGGATAAAACTACTGAAGGATGAAGGAATCATGATTATACATGTGATTCTTATTTAAAAAAAGAAAAGAAATCATAAATAAAAGTGCCATAATATGAGTATCAAGATGGCATTGGAGTAAATGGTGATGTAGATGCTCCAGTGTTTCTCCAAAGTATGCTGCTCTTTTTATTCTTAGTCTTCAATATAATTGAGTTAATAAAACTACTGGAAATCAGCAATGGTCTCTCAGGGGCCTAAATGAGGTTCATGGTTCAATGAAGTAAGTTTATTTACTGTTATTATCTAGAGGTTGAGGTTTCCTTTTAGATGTCCCTTTCAGCAGTGCATTGAAAGGAATAATTCAACCAAAAAAATGAAATTTGTCATAAAATTGTTGTTCCAAACCTGTAAATTGAACATGTCTGACAGAGCGTGATGCTGCTCTTGCTTATAGAGTACAATGAAAGCAATGGGAAGGGATGCTGTTGAGCTCAAATATGCTATTGTATGGCTTCAGAAAACTTGTAATATAGCACAGACGCTGTATGGACTACGTTTATGATCTTCTTCATAAAGCAGTTTTCTGCTGTGACCTGTATTTAGGAACTTTCGCCAAAAATCAACAACGCACAATAAAATAATAAACCTAGTTTCACATTTCACTGGGCAAAGACGGCTGGAGAGTTCCTTGTTCCTTTCATTTAAAGTTCACTCCCAGTGTCTGTATGCCGCACTTGAGTGAATTCATTGGGTTTTATTCACTATGCATGCGTACGAGCAAATCTGTGCATGAAATCCGCATACAAACAAATCATGATTCACCAAAAAATGTGAGGTTTCTCTGAAAAGCAATGCAGGCATATACAGTATGTACAGTTGGCTAATGAGAGGTTAGTTTGTTTTTTAATTGTGTTAACTGGTTTTGAGGACTGCGCACTTGACATTGCTTAAGGATCTGCGAGAGTGTGTCTGTAAAGAGAGGCATATGTTTCATGAAAAGGAAAGGCCCTTATATAGAGATGGTTTGGGCGTGGTTTATGCAAATGACTAACTGTATGCATGCGCAGCCGCTCATCTTGAATACTCCAAATCCACTAACATTAGAAAAAAGATGGTAAGAACAAATTTGTGTGCATATGCATGTGTTGTGAATTAAGTGGAAAGTTTTCGTGAGAAGTTCAAATGTGCATATAAATACGCAGTTATTAGTGAATGGGACCCATTGTTTTTCTCCATGTTTGGTAGCCTTTTAAATGTGCTTGTGTGATTGGTACAATGTCATTCTTATAACATCAGATCAGATCATAATCATGAAGATTTAAGGAAACTCTTCTCTGTTTTTAAGGGTGTGCCTTCTTGTGTAAATTACATTTAGCCCTAGATAAGATTTGACCCCTGAGATCAGACTGAAGATTTTTCTGTTGGTTTTTAAAGAAGACTGGAAAAAGAGTGAGGAGAGAATCTTTAGCCAAAACTCCTGCACATTTGCAGTTTGCTTTTGAATTCCCAGGTATGCATCTTTGACCTGACTTTATGCTTTTATGTTTTATTTGTGTGATTGATTTTGGATTGATTTTTTATTTCTTAATGCTTTAATTTACATGTGTAGCCCTACCTGGTGAATAAACTGTCGAACTTGATTTGTTCTGGAATCGTGATTCGATTATTTCTAGTAGATTCTAAGACTTTTCACACTTGAAATATTTCAAAATATAAAATATTTCTAAACTCCAGATTTATGCAATCCTGGGTTATCTTGTTTAATGTTTCACACTGTTCATACCTGGGATTAACAATTAATCCTGGGTATTAAAAATGTGATGTTTTGCACTATGAGCCAGTTTTAGTAAACGGGGCAAAACAGCGCCGATGGGAGGGGAAATTTCTGCGGGTGATTTACTACTTCTCTGCGGTGCCTCCTCCAAGCAACAATAATTGCAGCCATTTCAAGCGCAAAATAGTTTAAGACATGCTCTTTGGGCGTTAAATAATGGCGCAAATGCCAGTAATTTGACGAGCGCAAACATTAGTAAAATGCGTTGAGTGATTCATTTGAATACTCTCCTCCCACAAACTTTGCGTCTGAAAGGGAAACTCCTACAAATGCATATTCAATAAGGTCAGGCGCAAAAATAAAGCCCGGTTCAGACTACACGATTTTAGCCCGTTTTTGCCACGATTTGCTTGACGTAGGGTGTCTGGCATGCGATGAATGGTCAGGAAGCAACGTGTAGTCTGACATGTTTCTTGTCCACGACACGACAAGATTTTAGGAGTCAAAATCGTGAAATCTGACACAGTGACTATCGTGACCGACAAAAATATTGTGTATTCTGAACCCGGCATTACTGTCCACGCCTTTTCAGTGCTAATTCTTCACTGTGCGTCTTTAGTAAATCCTGACAGTACTATTTTAACGCCAAAAGACGGTTTACGCTGGCGCAAGCTGTTAGTAAAACTGGCCCTATATTTCTAAACCCTGAATTAACATTATTTTTCCATATTAGCAGTGTCAACAACCATGATTGGATAAATAAAGCATATGACCATTTTAAATAACGGCTCATGCTTAATCTGTATTAATTCAAAACACCCATGATTTGAATTGAGAAGTGGCCACTTCATTTGAGACCTTCAAATTTCTTCTTTTTATCTTTTATCTTATTGACTTCGCAAGTTGTACAAGCTGTTGGAAGTTAACCACGGAGCATGATCAGACTGGCTTGTGACGGTGTTTCTGACCAATGTGGAGTGTTTTGAATGAAATCTTTTTTTGCAGTAGTTTACTGCCTTTAGAGGTACTCCAGGTGTACTATATCTGTATTATCGTATATTATAAATTGCTTGGCATAAAGCAGTGGCTAAATAATTTCTAATGCCAACTTGTAATAATGAGTGATATTAACTAGATTGCATTTTCTAAAGGAGAAGAGTGTTACGAGTGGTTTTTAGGGTGTTCTAGGTGGTTGCTGATGGGGTGCCAACCAGTGGGGACATTTTCTGGAGCCAAATGCGATGTTGCAAATAGAATGTTATACTGCTAGAACTATATTGAATAATGTACTTGCATTACAAGAGAAGTATAAATACAGGGTATGCTATATGAACTCTTGTTCATATATGCTATACTCCTGTCTGAAATCAGCTGGGATATATCAAGACTGCACACACACACACATACACACAGGCTCAAGTCTTTTTGTGAGTTATGTAACAGCCTCTCTGCTGCTGTTTTAAGTAGGTTTGCCTCATGAAGCCACTAATGAACCTAAAGCAGCTCTAATCATCCTGCAGCTCAACTCCAGTCCTTTCACTGACTCGTTCACTCTTGATAACTTCATTAACTGCACTGACACATTGATTAATGAAGCAGGGATTGTACAGTATGTGGCTAACAGTCTCATGGGATACTGTAGTAGGCAGATATGTACAGTAGGAACAGCATGCTGCTTTCAGGAATAAAAATGTGCTTATATATTCAGGCATACAGCACCCTCTAAAAATTTTGAAACAAAGTGAAGTTTTAGACAATATCAGCATGAATCATTATTTCTTGCCATAAATGCATTCAAGTAACATTAACAATTAAAAGGAAAACTTGAAATCGCATCATATGACCCCTTTAAGTTCAAATATAGCAACTGTATTAACAATGACTTTAATTTGGTTTTGCATTTGGATATTTAGACATTATCAAAGGCTAGTTCATTGTGGATGATTTGTATATTTTAAAACAACAACAAAAAAATGCTCCGTATTTTCGTATTTAACATTCATTTAATAATAACATTATAATGTTTGCAATAAACACTTAATAGCAGCATACTGTTCAAGCATGTGGTCTCTTTCACTTGAAATAAATTGTGCTTTTATCAGAAAAAATTATGTAAAAATGCCGCAGTTAAAACCTGTTAACTGTGTTAGTTTCCCCATATTTTGGTTACCGTTTTACTGTACAATATTGTAATAAGTTTGTTAGAAATAAATGTATGAATTACCTTTAATATAATTTAAAATATTTAAAAATACTAATAGTTTTACATGAAAAAAATATATTTTTAACCACCTTATAATTTGTGGTAAATATACATTTTTGAATATTTATATATTGAATATATATTTCATATAAATGTTTTGTTATACATGTTACATAAAATGGGGTGTTTTGTGTTAAGGAAATTTTAAGGCCATTTTGTTCTTTTTTTTTTGTTATGGCAGTCCAGTGTTTAATCCTTTTGCTGTAGACTTATTAATGTGTTTTAATCAAATGTAATTTCACCAAATGTTAAATAAAAGACACGACTTACTAACAAAAGTTGTATTCAATTGAAATGATAGACAAAATGAGAACTAAACGGTTTAAACCGTGATTTATTGTGCATCAAATATGCCATGAAAACAACAACGATTTACAGTATGAGCAATATCTGTACTGTACATAAAGTACACCTTACAAAATGAACCAAACAATGACCACCTCTGCATGTGATTTTTATCTCTTTCTTTTTAATACATATAATTCAAAGCTTGTGTTTTTTTTTTTTTAAAGTTGCAGAAGCATTATCATTCTAAATGTTTTTTTTTTTATCAAAACCTTACAAAAACAGTTCAACAGACTGTTCAGGTGTTCATAAGTATTAAGCTATAGAGATCATTGCCAAGTACTAAATATATTTATTTAATTCAATTATATACAGGCTAATAGCGCAACAAGTATTAAAGATATACATTCAGAATTTCAATGTTAACCAGCACATGAGACTAAGTCATAAGATATTTCCACTGTACTTGCTATTTGTTACATTTCTATTGTCAGCTTGCATTTATTTTCTTTGGTGTGCGATTGTTCTATCAAGTGGTAAGTGCTGCATCCACACAAGCATGTGCATCAGACCCAGGCCTGCCAGCCGGGGAAGAGGCGGCTGAGGTTTTTGGGGTCCATTGCCTGCTGAATGAGGAGGTTTACCTGGCCGCCCACGCTGAGCACCGTCCCCTCCTCAACACCCTTCAGCTTCTCCTGCAGTCGGAGTAACACGCGCTCCGCCACTTTATTAAAGCTCTGACTGTCACTGCAGAAACACAACGCATCAACACATAAGAGAAGTCGAGTCTATGCTCTGAAGCAATCTTTGCTCCTTTGAAGAAATCTGTATTGTAGAAAGTATATAAAAAAGCTTGGCCTTGCAATGGAGAATGGTAAATATGTACATAAGCGTAATACATTTTCATTTAAAGCCTTTATTCAAATTAGTGTATGTGTACTGTATACTTTTCTCTTACTAAAACTCTTACTGACTCTATACTGCCAAACAAAGGCAAAATACTGTAACTACACCTGTGCTTTTTAATGTATTTATCGGGTTTGAATTTTCACACTGGCTCTGAATCCTTCTGAATCAAATCATTCTGTCACAGAAAAATCACAATTTTAGCACATTTACAAGACAGATGACATCGATTTGACCTTATAAAGCCTAGTATGATACTTGATTGGCAAATTTCTAAGGCCTCTAAATGTTTAACAAGTTTGCTGAAAAAAACATTGTACACCATCTCGTTGATAATTCATACTTTTTACGCACATAAAAGTTTTAGTATAATTGTAAAAACATCCCCGTTCAGGTTGTGGTACATGTGTCTTTATGCTCAGAAATCTTTCATGATTTTAAAATTAACATTAGTAATATTTCAAGATAAACATGTATTGCATTTAAGCAACTTTAGAAAAAAAATCGATGAAAATGATGCCGCCATCTCTATCTTTCTGTCGCTCGGCTCGGCTAATGTCCGTCCCATGCACTGAACGCGCTCTCCTCCACATCACGAGTAGACACGCCCCTTATTGCTGATTGGCTACAAGTTTGTTTTGCGATTCGGCCCGAATCAGTTTTCTAAAGTGTTTTTGAAAAATCACATACCCTGCCTTTAAATATGATACATAAGGCTTTTGAAGAACGTTTGGTAACACAAATTATTTTTGTATAATGCATTATAAAGGTATTCATAATGAATGTTGTAATGCATTATATCTTTTCATAAATGTAACCAAAGTTTCAATGGTTACAAAGTTTGTCGTGTTTTAATGCATTCTATTTTCTAAAGATATAACAATGCATAGATAATTATTATAATGTACTGGTTACAATAATTCATGAGATCATACAATGCATTACAAGGTATAATTAATGCATTAAAACTACTTTTATATTAAGGCTTTCAGTGAATGTTTCATTGTACATAATAAATGTTTTGTTCCCCACAATAAAAACTATGGCGCTTTCATCATAAAACGAATCATTTAAATACCATCTTACTATGACATATTATAGGGAGATATAGAGTGATAAATGATATTTATATGCATTTTATGCAAGTAGTCTGTTATACAGTTTAAAGTTCTCATTGATTTGCACTACAAGCTATCGAATTTCTTCTTACTTTATGGCCATATAAATATGAGGAACTGCACCAAATTGCATATTTGTGCTCTATGTGGGCATCTAAACAAAATGTTTATGTTGTCAAATTGGGCTCCAGACAGAAGGAGTGTTTGCAGAGGTGATACCTGGCCTTGCGGTGGGCGTCGATCTCGTCTCCTGGCGTGGGGTTGAGTGTGGCATTGAGCTCTGC